TAGTAAAAATTGCAACTGAGGTATTTATAGGAGATAAGAACACAAAAAAATCAGATATTTACAGCATTGGGATGTTAATGTGGGAAATATTTGCAGGCCATCCACCATTTGATGATAGAGCTCATGATCATCATTTAGTTTTTGATATATGTGAAAGTTTACGACCACCAATATTACCTGGTATGCCTGATGATTATGTACAAATGATGCAGAAATGTTGGGATGTGGATCCATCAAAAAGACCAACTACTTATGAACTTATGTACTTTGCTTATAATAAGCATGAAGCAATTCTTAAAAATAATATTGATGATTATAATAATATTATTAGTAGTGGTGGTGGTTCACAACAACCACATAAACCACATCCAGATGCATATCATACTAGTAGAATATTAGATGATGAAATTGCTAAATATAAAGGCTTAAATATTTATGCAAGTAGTGGTAGTTCATTAAATGTTCTTGATTTTAATTCTCTTCTCTTAAACAAAGGTGAATTAACCTTTTCATTATTAATTAATTGAAAGTTACTATCGTTAATTACCATTACTAATGATCTTTTTTATTCACAATTAATTAATTAATTAATTAACATTAGATTCTAGTAATAATGGTAAAGGAAAAGGTCAAGGTTAAAATATTGATGAATTGGATAATTGATTCAGTTTATAAATCACTGGTTTGGCTAGTGAACTGAGGTTTTATATTGTAATAAGAATAGTTTATTTAGTATAAAAAAAATACACCCACCATATGTAGCTTACATTTGGATAAATATTCATGTAAAAATTAATATATTAATGTTTCTAACTTTTTATAATGATAAAAAACCAAAAATTTATAAATAGTAATGATGTCACCAATTTACTTATTGCTAATATATTTATATTGCGCAAATCAACAAAGCCTATATTTTCATGTGGAAAGTAATTAATAAATTATTTAAGGCAATGAAATTTAAATGAAGTTTCATCATTATCCAGAGTTCAGAGTTATAAAGTTTTTTTATTTATAATTGGAGTTTAAGCTGCGGTTAGTACCTGCACTAATGTAAAAAAGAAAGAACACCTGTAAATGAAGGGACATTAGAGAATCATATGGATCCCATTATATCTTTGTTGTTTAGGTTTGAGAGAAATAATTTGGTAATGATGTCATTTTTTTAAAATCAAAAATAATGAGATATGCAATATTTATTGCATTCTGCTTTTTAGAGGAGTGAAGTTATAAATAAGGCATCACAAAGCAAGCATGTCACAAAAATTTTTGAGGCAGATAGTTAATAAAACTGTAGATAATCACAACCTCAAAGTTTTTTTTGCTTCCATGATCTCGTGTGTAGAAGATTGTCATGCATATTGATTATAAACAAATAATTACTTTTTACAAGTGATTGCAGAACCAAGCCACTTAGATATGCTTTCTACTAGTATTATTACATGTTAAGATAGAATTTTGCTAGGGAAAGCTTATAAAGTAATGTAAAAATTATTCATTATTATATATATAGTTTCAACTTTAAATTTATTAATAACTCTTCTTTGAAATATACTATATAAATTTATTTTTTTGTACTAATTAAACTATTCTTATTACAAT